AGAAGCATGGCTGATACCACAACAGTTTTTTCAGTCACGCACTTACTAATCATAAGTAGCTGTCACTGAGCAGCAGAGTTTTATGTCACTGTAATCCCAATGCATTTAGTCAAAATGAGAAACTATTAATGTACTAAATCAAAATGAAAATTATTGTAGTCAAGTAAAATAGCTTCTGATCAATGTTTTGAAGAAAGATGAACTACAGACAGATTATTTGGTAAACACCATTTTCTGGTATTTGGATCATGTTAATGGTTCTACAAAAAAAGGAAGACATGGTATAGTATTTGATAGCCCTCTTTATGTATTGGATTAGAGTATGTGTTTAATGGATCTGCGTGCAAGCACTTTTCTCTTAATTTAAACTAATTCATCATCTCACATGGTTATTTGCCTTGGTTTAAAAGTTATGGTATGGAAAGACAATTGCTTTAGTGATTATCATAGTTATTTGTTGAACAGGTCATTTGAACCTGTTATACTAAAGTCTTGTTCCAATTTACAGAACTGAAATGTTATGCATAGGAGACCTGACTTACATTACGATCTCTACTGAGCCAATTTCATGCTGACTAAATCTAGGTTTAATGTTACAGGGCTAAGGATATTGCTCACTGGTGGAGTGCTTTCCTGTCATGCCTAGTTCCCTGGGTTCAACCTCTAGAAACACACACACACACACACACACACACACACACACACACATTACAGATTTCAGCCCTTTTGTTTTCAGTAAAGGTAGAGTAACAGAGGTCAGAATTACCCTTCCAGCAGAATCAAACAGACCAAAAAAAAAAAAAAGGCAAATTATATGGTGGTACCCACCTATGCATGGTGGCACAACCTGTAACTCCAGCATTCAAAAGGCTGAGGCAGGAAGATTGTGAGTTTGAGGCCAACCTCTGCTATGCAGCAAGTTTAAGGCCAACCTGGACTACATAATAAGAGTCTGTCTTTTAAAAAAAAAAAAAAAAAAACAGGCATTTTGGCATATACCTGTAATCCTAGCACTCTGGGAGGCTGAGGCAGGAAGACTGCAAGTTTGAGCCCAGCATGGGCAACTTAATGATTTAGTGAGACTGTATCTCAAAATAAAAATAGAGAAGGAGTTAGGGATGCAGTTCAGTGTTAAAGCTCTGTGTTAAATCCCAATATTGAAAAAACAGAACAAAAGACAATCCACACACATCAAAGAAGGACAGGAAACAAACCAAATAAGGCAAATCTTGTGATTCCATAACTCACTGCCTTGAAAGACCATTCGGACCACAGTGGAAGGAAGGAGAAGGAATCTGGGGAAAGCCAGTGAATGCTCTGAAATGAAGCCAGATCTGAGAGCCTGGGAAGATGAAGGTCTTTGGGGAGTTTTCAGGACAAGCTATAGGAGTACAATGAACCATGTAGATCAGAAATGCCAGAGAACTACAAAAGGTCTCCAGGGATTATTCAGCAGAGCACCAAACACTACACACATGTGAAAACTGCAGGCTGGAGAGAGAAGTATCTAACAAGATCAGAGAGAAAATTGCCTTTCCCTTACCTAGTCCCAGGAAGAGGGGCAATTCCCACCAGTCAGATTGAAACTCCTCACATTTAAGGAGCATTGAATAGAGTATTCAGAGGGACTTGCTTCAGAACTGGGGAAGAACTGGCTCTAGATGAAATGCTGCTCTTGTCACACCTAACCTTAAAAACAAGACCCAGGATTATTGAACAGTTTCAAAGTAATTTAAGTATATCAGCTAAAGTATATTATAAAGAAACAAAGGATATTATGACAAAATGACAGATTTGTCCTTGGAAAAAGTGCAAATGACAAGACAACACAATGTTTTTTAAATACTGAAAGGAAAAGCACTTGTCCTTCTCAGACTGAACAGACTCTCTCTAGAGATGTTAAGCCTCTAATGGGGGAGCGCCTGTCAAGGGCAATAGGAAGAACTGCTGGCAGACGAGGGACGCGGACGCGGATAGCTTTGGCTGACCTGAAAGTTTACATCCTTGGCTCTTTCCAGAACATCAAGATGGCAAGAACTGCCATCTGCAATCTCATCTTGGGAAATCCTCCATGAAAGGTTTATGACAATATTCAAGCTGTGGCTAGCAGATCAGCAGATTGGTTCTCATTTCAAATAAGAGACTTTTTAGATTCTAAAGAAAAAGATCTTACACTCTGCAGGTGGGCATGCAAAACCAGGTCACTTTAAACTTAGATCCTTTCTTCCATTCTCAGCCAGCACCACAAATGGAAGGGAAAGGTTTAATAGTATTCATACGCAACAACTTTTAGGACAATTTAAGTATCAAAATATAAAGAATAATGTATTTTTTATTTTAAGTCACATGTAGCAGATTTGCAATTTAGACTCCTCTCATTTAGAGGAACTTTATTGCATAAACAGCCCTATATAAATTTTGGCAAATCTTCTAAATGGAATTTTAGAAAATTTGATCAAAGAATATTTTTTTAAAAACAATAAACAGAGAGATAGATCTCTTGAAAATGCAAAGGAGACCAGAGACAGAGGGAAAGGGGAGGGAGAAGAAAAGAAGGGGGGTGAAAAAGAATTAAGACGTGTTACACACATGTACCAGCTCCCCATGATGAATGCAGTTACGATGTACATAGCATGATCATATGGCGTTTACCTTGGGGATGCAATGTGAGTTTAACTTCCAAAATTCATTTACTGTGGTTCACTACATTTACAAACTACCATAGAACCACCACAATCAAGACTGAGAAGTTTGATTATGCAGGAAATTCCCTGGTGTCTGTAGTCAGACTTTTCCTCTGAACCCCAGTCCTTTGCAATCACTGGTCTGTTTCATGTCCTTATACCTTTGCCTTTTAAAGAATGTTATATAAAACCTATTTATATGAACAGTCATATATAAATAATCTTTTGAGTGTGGCTTCTTTCACTAGCATTATGCAGTCAAAGTTTGTATGTGTCACACATCAACAGTTCATTCACGTTCAGTACGGAATAATCTTTCACTTGGCGGATGCATTGCCATTCTTCACCCATTACCTAGCTGAAGGACATGTGGATTGTTTTCAGTGTGGAGTGATTATCAGTAAAGACCCTATAAACCTTGGAATATTTATGTGTACAGCTGAATGGATTTTGATAAATATACACAGACATTCATCGTTTAATGACCAAGTCACTGTCCCGTGACTAGGTTGTTAGATGACTTGGTTGATAAATGAGGAATTGTATATAGTATGCACATTACAATCATCAGAACAAAGAGATGGTCGAAAGAAACTCCAACCTGCTAATTTTGCTTTTATTTGCATATCTCTTACATGCAGTACTGTAATGTACAACAGAACATACAACTAAACACTGTATAGTACAATCAGCAAAATTACAGTACTGTATAAATGAGGTATACTGTACAAAAAAGACATTGTGCTTTCATAAATGAGGTGCACAGAACTGTACAAAAGATAAGATAGGCCATAAGTCCAGACTTATGTATATAACCCTTGAAAAAGTATGTACACCCATATGACATGAGACATTTCTATATATCAAAAAATTACAAAGGTAACATCACTTCTAAAGAGTTTGTCTATATCTGAGAATTTACTTAACTCCAAATGAATCAGTTTTATTATCACCTGAAGAACTACTGGAAGCAAATAGTCCTTAGAAGTGAGTCCAATAAAAAGAGTGCACTGACACATTGTTCTGGCCCTTGGGCACAGCTCTTCTGCCTGTATCACATGTGATCAACAGGTCTCATAAAACGATGCTCCAAATCACTCCCTTCAGCATCCAAACAGGCAAACTATACATTTTTCAGATATTGAGGTTGCCTCACTATCAAAAAAAATGTCAGGGAGCCTATTTTTCCCAGTATCAGACATTATAGAAATAATACTATTTTGAAGACATTTGTCTTTTCATGAATACTGTACAACATGATTAGTGAATGTGCCTAAAACACAAGACGCTACAGGTACTCTTCGTTTAACAACTGAGTTAAGGTCTCTCTAGCTGGTCATTGAATGAATTGCTCGCTAAGTGAGGAATTGCCTATAGTACGTACACTACGATATTCAGAACAAAGAAATGGTCAAAGGAAACTCCAACCTGATGATTTTGCTTCTATTTGCAGAACTCTTCAAACAAGCAGTACTGTACTGTACAGCAGAACATAAAACTACGGTACAGCACTGTACAGTACAATCAGCAAACATCATGGTACTGTACCCAAAAAAAGGACATTGAGGCTTTACCAACAAGATGTACAGAACTACACCAAAAAAAAAAAAAAAAAAAAAACTTTCCTAGGACCGCATCTTAAAAAAAAAAAAAAAAAAAAAAAAAAAAAAAAAAAAAAAAGAGGAGTAAGTCCCAGCAGCGGATCATAAGTCTGAACAGTGCTACTTGGTCCTTAAAAGAGTAGGTCGTTAAACGAGAATATCTGTGCATCCACTTAACTTCCAGCTTAAGATGCAGAACCCCTGTATGTTCTCTCCTTTTTATAATGATTTACCTTTAACTTCTACTTTGATTTCCATCACCATGGCTTTCCCCTGGTTCCAGAATTTCATATTAAAAGCTAGCGCAATATATATGGAGTTTATTCCTTTTGTCTTACGAGGAATTAGCAAGCAACTGAAGACTTTAAAGAAGGAAATTGGCACTATCTGGTCTGTATTTGTAATCAGCCTTTTGGGCTAGCGTGTGACGAACGATGAACAAATGATCGTATGGCGCTTACGTACTCTTTTTCTTCTCATCTTTTCAGGCAGGGGTCTATGAATTAGTAACATTTTTAGGCAAACTGGAAAAATCTAGATTTCCAGGCTGGCCTCAAAGTGCATTGCAAAGCTGGATTTAGAGACCGCCTGGGGCGCAAGAACTCTTCCTGCGATTCCGGCTGTGCACAGCAGATGGCCCCAGAGCCCGGTTCCTGGCCGGGTCGGTGGGTTGGGCAGCGAGCCGCGCGCCGTCTGGCGACTCCTTGCGGCGACTCCTGCCGAGCGCAGCCAGGCGCGCAGCGCTCCGGTGGGCGCTCAAATTGGGCAGCTGCGAAGATCTGCCAGGAGTGTGGTGCTCCGGCTTCGGCTGCCCCTGGACCTGGCCCGGCCCCTGTGCCCTTCTTGGACTCTCAGCAGAGGCGTCTTTGGCCTGAAGAGGCCAAAGTTCTGCGGGACGCACTGGTCGGCGCCGGGCAGTCCCTCCGCGGGACTTGGTGCGGACGGGGCGCGCGCGGGTGGGTGCTGGGGCGGCGGCGCGCGCAGAAGGCTGCCCACCGCCGAAGGTGGCTCGGGGAGTTGAAAGGGAAGGAAAGGAGTGTGTGTCTAAATGAGGGTTTGGGGAAGAGTCGCAGGGCGAGCGCGCGGGGCCGCCGCCGGACCGGCGCTGAGTGTCTGGGAACAGGCGGAGCGCGCGGCGTGGCTCCGGCCAGGAAAGCGCGGCAAGTAGGCTTGTTTGCGTGGAAGTTGCCTAGGGAAGCCGAGCTCTTGAGAGCCTCTTCTCCCTCTCCAGCCTCGCTCCGGCGGTGAGGTCACAGCGCTCCGAGCCCGGCCTCCTCGCGCCCCTCCCGCTCGCGCCTGCTCCACCTTGGGAACACAAGGCACCGAGGCGGAGAATGGGGCTACCGCACGCCATGGAGAAGTAGCCCCGGGGGCCGTGGAAAATGAGGCCCGCCCTGCTGCTGCGGCTCGCGCTGCTGCTCGCCCTGCCCGGCAGCCTGGCGGAGAAGGGGTGCCCGTCTCCGCCCTGCGAATGCCACCAGGAGGACGACTTCAGAGTCACCTGCAAGGATATCCACCTCATCCCCAGCCTGCCGCCCAGGACTGAGACTCTGTGAGTACCCGGGAGACGCGAGAGGGTAGGAGCAGAGGCCGAGGGCTCCTGGAAAGGTGGGCAGAAGTGCACAAAGAAGCTTAAGACCAGGCCAGAGGGGGTGCGTGAGCGTGCATGTGTGTTCGCAGCCTGTGAGGAGTCACTCAGTCGGCCACACTTGGGAAGATATTATTGCCTGGTCTGTAATACAGTCCCAAAGCTCCGTGCAAGATAAGGTGAGGCAGCTGGAGGACTTGCACTTTGCCTACTCCTGGCCCTGGCTGAACCTTAGTTTCACTTCAGATAGTAGTATGAAGAAAAGCTCAACAACTTTTTTTGCTCTTATCTCGGGCAATTATTAAAGATTGCAAAAAAAGAAAAATAATGTCTCTGTTAGTCTTTGTAGGTGAGTCATTATCTTATATTTCTGCTGATTCATCAAATACTTGTCAAAAAATTTTTATCAGGGACCCCTTTTAAAATGTTTCCTTTACTCAGTATATATGGTTACTTAATTTTGAACTAACTGCCCGCATAACGCATCTAGAAACTCCTTTGTGACAGAAGTCGGAGAAGTACAGAGAGATGACATTTCATAAAGTGCTCTTTAAAAATCTGCCTGCTAAATGCTACCAAATCAGAAGCTTGGTGGCAACTAAGATTGTACACACCCACACCCACATACACTTGTTTCTTAGTAGAAATTCCAATCAGTCATTGAAAAGTTAACTGTAGATAAGACCAGGGTAAAAAAGCTTTCTTGATAGGTTAAACGTAGAATAGAAAGAATGGTAGAACAGCCTAGATAAGTTCAACCCAGTTAAGCAAAGAAAATGTAGATAGGTGAAAAATAATTGTGACTTCAAGATTTTCCTCACAAATTTAGCTTAAAAGAGCATTCAACAGTAAACAAAGAGTATTTCAGCATAGCTACGTATTTCTGTGCTCTGAGGGGCCCTTGTTTGTTGTCTCCGGATTAATTACTACAATAACCTCCAGGCAGTGCTTCATTCTCCAAACTCCCGTTACATAATAAAGTAGTTTTTGTCATCTTCTTGAGGAAACCTCCACACCAGCTCCGCATAACCTTCCATCAAGACCTGGTGCAAACTGCCCAACATCACTGCTCCCAGTTTCTCTGCCTTGTCTCTCCTACGGAACAGAACGGCTGCTGTGTTCCCCCAAGTTCCCTGCCCTTGCCTCCCATTTCACATCCTGTCCCCTTGCCTGAAGCCCACCTTCGTTTCTTTATCAGCTAATGCCTTTTCCAAGATTCAGACGTGGTGTCCATTCCTGCAGGAAGTCTTCCTCAACCAGGACCCTTAGGCTGGGTGAGCTACGCCCCCTCTTAACAGTGTGGGTGTGAACATGTCCCTAGCCCTTACACCCGGTGTGCCTTCCTGTGGCTTCCTTTTTTTTTCATGCCTGCCCAAGCAGACATGAGCTCCTCTAACACAGGGACCCTGTCATGCAGCCCAGAATTCCTCACACCCAGCACAGGACCTGGAACTGCTTTGCTTCTCAAAAAAAGCTTAAGTAAATGAATGAAGAAATGAGTACAGTGGGCTCAGATTGTCCATGGTGTGAACACCGCAAGAAAGGAGCTCTTCTTCAGAGAGTGGCACAAACTCCAGAGTCATTGAAGAGAAATGTGGCTCTGAGAGTACAAAGGAACTGGAATCATCCCATTTAAAATTCCCCTGAATATTGAGAGCAGGGAATGTCAAAGAGTAAGCAGTGGGATAGCAGCAGGAGACCTGAATTCCTCATTCTCTTCATTACCTCGCACACTCACTGAGAAACTGAGGGTGATCATTTATTTGGAAGGAGTCAGTTTTTCCTCTGATGAAAGAAGATTCTTTTGGAAGCTTTCTGATATTCTGAAGCTAATGAACATCATCTGAGGGAAGCCACTGAATCACAGTGAGAACAAGAGCGGCCACTGGAAGGACCTGACCTTGCCAATAACCAGGAGCAAGGCACTCTGTCTGAAAGAATGAAGTCATTCTGAGTAGGGAAAAGAAAATTGATGTAAAGCATGGTTAAAATGCTACGATATGCTCATTAGCAATGACTACACCCTGAGGGATGTTCTTGGCCAAGATTCACATTATTCATGATGTGATCTCTTATAGTTTTTGAAGAGCTTCTACTGGTTTAAAATGTAAAGACTTGTGCTTCCACAGAGTCATTTGCCTTATATCTCTATCCTATATCAAGTTGCTATATAAATTGCTTAACCATTTTGCAAATCATTACAGTGTGGAGAACAATTTTTCCTAATCCTTATCTTCTACCCATTTATTGTAGTGTCAGAAGGTCATTGGGCCTCCTCTTTCTTTGCTGCACCTACACTTGCTCCACGGCAAGTGGATGGGTAGGAGAGAGTTACAGAGTTTGTGGTAATCAATGAAGGGTGGTTCTGACTCTTGTCCTCACTGCCCCCTCCCAAGGGGCCTGACACACTCTCATTATAACAGTGGCTTTAACTGGGTGGGAGGTGAGGGTGAGCTGGTATGCCTACTCCCCAGTGGGACATTCTGCAATCTATGGTAGGCAGGAAGGCTGACAAAAATGACTCTTTCCACTTGAAAATTACTGATTTAAAGGAATTGAACTGCGGTGAGAGAATACACCTAAATTTTGGCATGTAATTGTAGATCATATTACTTCAAAGCCACACCTACAAGATTGACTCAGTACTCTCTTACGTAGAAAGTCACCTCTATGCCTAAGAGGACCATCCCTTTTATGAATGAGAAAGTGAATGGATTTGTATGGATTCTTTCTCAAGAAAATGCTGACTGAAACGGGAGTGGTGGCACATGCCTGTAATCTCAGCAATTGCGTGGGTGAGGCATGAGAATTACAAGTTTGAGCCCGGCCCAGGAAATTGAGTGCCTTAGTGAGATTTTGTCTCAGAATATAAATGGGCTGGAGATGGGGCTCAGTGCAAAGGCCCTGGGCTCTTTTACTAGTATTGGAAAAAAGAAAAAGTAAAATGCAGGGGAAGGGTGGAAAAGGAGGAGAGGGAAAAAGAAGAGGAAGAAGGAGAAGGGTGGGGAGAGAAAAGAAAGAGAAGGAGAAAAAAAGGAAAGTACTGACTTTATTTGCTTTGTCCTTTTAACCTTTCCACTTGTAGTTTCATGGATTTGCTACATTGATCCCCAAACCCTAAGCATCTAGTAAAGCTTTATCCACCACATGCTTGTATTCCTTCAGAAATATCTCTGAAGGAGTTGAGGTTGCTAGTCTGGTTTTGAGGTCTTGTTTTTACTTATTTGCATTCTATACATGCTACTCTAAGTGATGAACTATCCCACAATTTTTTTTTCCAGTACTGGTGATGAAACCCTGTTAGGGAAGCCCTCTACCACTTACCTACATCCCCAGCCAACTATCCCTCTGTCTTGGTTACTTTTCTCTCATTGCTGAGACAAAATAAAACTGACACCCAGAGTTAAGAAAGGAAAGGTTTATTTAGCTCACAGTTTGTGGAGGTTTCAGTCCATAATCAGCTGGCTCCAAGGCAGGGTAACACATGGCTGAGGGCAACAGTTCATGGCGGCAGAAATCAGCAAAAGCAACAAGAGCAAAAGGGGGAGGAGCAAGAGAGCAAGCCTCTTTCTATCCCTTATATTGTATGTCTCCTACCTGCTCCAGGGTGAGAAGTCTCAGCACTAGACAATGAATCAATCATAAACTATAGGCTCAGCTGCCTCTGAGAAACAAGCCCCTCATGACTGCATGAGGCTTTGCGGCGGAACATCCAGACACAAACCATAACACCCTCTATTTTCTAAACTGGACAATCACTCATCACCTTTGCAAATCCTTCCCTCTTTCATCTATACTGTTCTATGCTCAGTATGTTTAAGTACTGTTATAACTGAGACTTTTGGGTGACATTTATCTGAACCATAATATAACTCTATTTGAATACCCCAGGAAGTTGATTCAAAGAGGTGACTGAATATCCAGTGGTAGGCACTGCCAGAGGCAGTACTATGTGTGTTTTAAGAGGCTTCAGAAATCAGATTAGCTCCACTGAGGCCAAAATACAGAATGTCTAGTCCTTTCCATCTGTGTGAAGAAACCTTTGCTGGCCGGGGTCCAAGTGTTAGTATTTTGAATTAATCTTGTCTGAACATAATGCTCCATTTCTTAAAAGACTTTTCTTTTTAAATTTCTTCAGACCATAAGAATTGCTACCTTGAATTTGTAAGACTGATTATTTTTATAATGTTTCCTGATTATACAACTATGTCAGTTACCCTTCAGATTAAAGTTTATTAACCAGAAATTCAGAGGATTCCTAAAAATTCATGGTTGTACTCCTGAGAATCTGTCACTATGTGAAAATTTGTATATACATATATCATTGCATTTCTTAAATTTTCAAAAGTGTACTTGACCAGTCCTCCCCCCAAAGTTAAGAAATTTGGCTTTGGAATAATTTGGCATTTTTGTATAGCTGTAAGTGTACATTTGGTATTCGTATCACTCAATTTATTTTATTACAAAGAACACAGCATATTTTAAAAATAAGCAGAAGCTTCTTGATGTTTAAATGTTATAGTTTCCCTCTGAATATATTATTAGGTTGATTACTTTCTTTATGCTGCACATTTAGCCTGTCCTTTAAGGAGACTTTTTACATGGAAGTTTACCAAATGTGACCATTTATCAAGTTAATAATTTAAAGGCATCTTTTACAAATGGTTGATACATTGTGTCTGATATTAAATTCTTTATGCTGTCTCTGTTTTTACCGAAGCTAATTGATATACTTAATTACCTGTTGCCTTTCATTGCTGCTTTAAAAAATAGAAAAAAAATTAATAGCAAAATGGTCCCATTTGTTCAAAATTACAGATTGAAATTGAAATGTTCCATTTAGATGTCAGATTCTGTTTCATTTCTGAATGAATTCTTAAGGATGTTTAGAATGTTCTAGAAATTTTCAAAACAAAATTCTTTAAGTTACAAAGCAGTCACATGTGATTTTAAAAGCATCCTGT